GGTAGCACTGCATGGGCTTGCAGTTCCCCAAGGGAAGAGGCCTGGCCATCCTTGTGCATTGTTTGCCTTGTAACTCAGTTCTCCCCTGTTCTGCAGAGGAGCTTGCAGAGACTCTCAGATCAGTTTCTGCCAGCTAGCAAATCAGTATCTGTGACTGAGTCTTCCTCACAAGAAGAGTGAGCATCTGCTATTGAAATGGCTTCTCTTGGTTGTCTGGAGTGTCACCCCTGAGAGTGCATTTGTCATCAGTAGAGTATGTCCCCTTTTCTCCTCCTTAGAAGATCAAGTCTTATAATCAGGTGTAGCTCCCCTTTTGAACTTGCGGATAAAAATTCAAAAAATCTCATGTAAAGGAAAACTGGAAGAAAAATAGAAGCTATACAAGGATGAGAGCTAACAAGTGGTTCTTGGTGCCTGAGGCATGAAACTAATCCGTTTTAAGTCTGAACTGATAAGAGAATTTCTGGATGAATACCAAGAACCAAGGGTGGATAGATAGCTAGGAAGAAAACGTAGCTCTAGGGTATTCTGACTTTATGGGGCTTACATATTCCTAAGAATTCTCCTACTCCTTAGAACTACAATGAAGGATTTAATATTCCACATTGTTTGTAGTTAAAGCAGTAACACCAAGGAAAACAAAAGTTTTCACACGACTATGTTTGTGTTTTTGTTTGTGGGTTGTTTTTTTTTCCAGGAATTACTTCCATTTCTCCCTAGTCCAAGTAATGAAACTTCATAGAAAAAACTAAGAAGACCACACTGATTGAGGCAGGCAGTCTCTTTGCCATGTTCAGCAGTGTGATGAGAATTTCTTGTTCTTAGTTTTCCAACTTGACAACTCAAAAATATATTTCTAGTCAATAGGAACATTATGAGTCATGGCAAAGCAAGGTGAAAACGACCTGGCCCGTTCTTTGTCCATTTACAGTATTTTCTGAGTTCATTTTTAATGGTTCGTCTTCTCCTATAACTTCCTTTCTTGTGATGAGTAATAAAATGAATACAAAAGACATTGTCCTCTGTAGTTCTTCAAACACGTAAACATTTCAGTTATGCCGTGCTGTAGTTTGGTCAGTGCTCCAGTATCTACTTGCTAGAACAGAGCAGGCAGAACACAATAAACTGAGCTGTAATGTGTCCAGGACCACGATGATCACAGCTTATTTGCAGGTAGTCTGATTCCACAGTATGGAACAGCAAGACTGGAATGGTTTAGTCAGCTGAATTCTGACCCCAGAAATCTCAGCTGACAGATAATACCTGTATAGGAGGTATAACAGGACTTGTCAGGTCCATCATTTGGAGCTCTTCTACCTATTTTAGTGATGAAAGCTGAAATATTCTATTACTGTTTTGAGGCTGATCCAACTGCTTTGGTATTTGCTATAATGATTCAGTTACAGTACTGTGTGGAGGAGGGAGAAGGATGAGAACAGTGCACCCAAGGAGGGATAATGTAATCTGGCAGCACTCAATGGTCTCTCTTAGACTTGTTAAGTAGGCTTTGGAGAAGTCCCATAACTTGCTCTTGAAAGAAGAGCTGCTTCAGAACACTCTTCTCAAGGGTGTCTGGAGCTAGCCTCACTGCACTGCCCTTTCTGCCACCCACTGCAGAATCAGTCAGTAGACGTAGGCAAATGCCAAAGTGCATTTTCAGCACAAAGTCGGGTTTGCTGAAAGTGTGTAACGCAAGTGATTGTATGATTAATTTTGTTATTATATAATTCATGTCTCTTTTTGCAGACAAATGACTTTCCTTTTTAACGGTTATTTGAACACTGTACATAATTCTTTGTCAGAGAAGCAGTTGAACCTGGCCAAGTTCAAATTGAAACTTCCCAGAGGAATAATCCAAATCTGAATTTCCATATATATTAATAAACTGTGTAATACATGCAGCAACTCACATAATACAGTTTTGAAATGAGATAGAACTCATTATCAGTACAATGAGGAGCACAGGCTCTTTCCTGTCAGAAATAATGGAGTGAGAGCTACACAATTATTTTCCCTTGCTGCTTCTGGAGTCATTTATGCAGCAAGGTGTGTGTAAATCTTTCTCTGCCTGTTGTGCTGTAGTGGGACATATACCAGCCCAAGCCAACTCTTGTAGTTGCAAGCAGGAAGAGTATATAAACAAATCATTTCTGTCTAGTTTCATGGTGTAACATCAGCAGTACTGTGCATTGCAAAGTTGTGTTCCACAGGTCTCAACGGAGCATTCTCATGCTGCTGCCTGAGGGTAGAGGATGCCATGTTTGAAATCTGCCATCCAGCTTTTGTATTTGTTCTCTGGGTATGAGTCTGGAATGACTCCTTTCTCTGTGTGCCACGGTGGATTTCAGTCTCTGTTACTAAGATGTGAACTTGGCACTCCAGCTGATATTACACTTGCACTTGCTAGTCAATCTCTGCTGGGAAACACCCGCTGCCCAACGCTCAGGAATCGCTACCAGCGTAAGTCCCAAACATAAGCTTTTTTTGTGATCCTGACTGATGACCTTGGCCCAGGACCAAGAATGAGAGGTTAGGCTTCTTCACCTTGGGGTTTACAGTGCCTAACCATCAGCTGAAGGTTGGCTCCTACGCTCAAAGAGAAATGGACTGTCTTTTAAACATGGCTGAAAAGAGGGAAATGGTGCCCTGCTGATTTTGTCTAGTAGCTGAGCGAGAATATAAAAAAGCAAGACCAGACCTACTTAAGCACGAAGCAGAATAACAAGTTCTGTTCTCATGTGGACCTGAAACCTCTCTTTGACCTGGCTATAGGCTGTTTATTCTGAAGTATGCATAGGAAGCAGGTGAGATAGGTTTTCATCTGTGATGTTGAAAGGAACTCATAAAGAATGAAAAAAAAATATGGGAAGGGAAGGAAAAAGGACACAGTTCAGTTATTTAATGAGATATGTGCATTTAGACACTGAACTTACATTTCAAAAGTTCTTATTTCTGGAGTACAGGATGCAGCAGTTCGGCAAAAAAACACACTTCATATAAATGCAGTTATGTGTATTCTTAGGAAAAGTGTGAAACCTATAATCTCAGTGGATTCTGTGCAAGTCCATCCATAATGGAATCTGCCTTACAGTGTGTAGTTTCAACACCTTCATGCAGTAGTGAAGTAAATGCACTAATTAAATAATATAACTGGACGAGAACTTTCATGTCAGAGACATGACAAACTGAAATTCTGCTTGCTAAATGTGATTTGTCCAATGGATTTAAGGAAGGAAGCAGACTCCCCGCCTGCATTCTTCAGCATGTTTGGATAGCAATCTTCTCTAAATAACATGACAGGCCCTTTTTGTAGTCCAGCATCAGAGGATTATATTATTTTCAGAGCAATTTATGCAAGATTAGTGGAGACATAGTTAATCATTTAAATTAGCTACAGGTTTTTTATTAATCTTCAAAATAATGAGCTCTACCTTTTGATCTTTGTGTCTGCAAACCCCTCTGGAATTGATGCCAGTTAGGATTCAGTAATGACTTGGTTATAAATATGGATCAGTGTGTGCATATGTGTGGCATGTGTGTGCGCGCAGGTGTGTGGTGTGTACATGTGCAGGTGGAGTGGCACATATTCAGTTAGACCAGTTCACTTGTTACTGATTTGGAAAGTGGATCTCTCCACTCGTGGAAAATAAATAAAAATGCAAGGACAGTAGTAAGCAAAAAAAGATTCTGCTTTATTATGCAGTTGTGCGTTGCATGGTGCCAATCTGATGCTTTTAGGACAATTAGATACAGCTTGTGTATTACCTACAGCGAAGATAGGGGACAGTATCAGGGAATGAAGTGACCTTAATTTTCACATGAACCATTGAGAAATGTTCTCATCTTTTAAAGAAGGAAATGTGTTCCAGAAGCAAATAAACTGCATGAGCCCAAGGCAACACTGAATAGGAAACTTACAGATGAGCAGACTGACCCTGCTTAGAGCTTCACTCTATGTGAAGGAGAAACAGGAGGCAATTAGAGCTTTCCAGGACTTTGCAGCTCTCATACTGACATTTCTGCATGCTCACAGTGCCACATATCATTTCAAACCTCCATGCAAACAGGTCTGTGTTGACCTGTGTGTGTTGCCTAGGGTTTTTGTGTAGTCACTGAATTGCATTAATTGAACTATGCTATGGGTTCTATGGGTTTGCAGTAAAAGCATCAGTAAAAGCTGTGATTCAGAACTGATAAGCATGTATGACTATAGCAGGGATAATACCTTATTCTCAGTCCTGCCATCCATGGTACAAGGTAGTACTTTGTATGATAGCACTTTTTTCAGCTGAGCTTTCCCTCTTTTCTGTGTTCCTGAATGTTTGGAAGTTATTTTCTTCCTGGTGTCCCACAGCCCATTGCCTTTGCATCTCCTATACTTGCATCTTACTAGTGTCATACTGCTCATGTTGCAGCTTCAAGTGGATTTGATGAGATGTAAATACTCAGTTTCCTATATACAGATAATTTTTTGAGCATTTCTTTCTCTTATCATTCATTAATCTGAAGGGAAATGATTGACTGGGCCCCAAGAGCCTTGTTTCCAAGGTACATGAATGTCTGTAGTTAAAGATGAGTGCAAGGGAGTGTGGATCAATACACGATGTTGCATTTCTAAAGCAGTATTATTCTTTGCCCTTGTTGTGGTCTCTTGTCTTCCTGAAGACTGAGTTCTGACTTCTGATGTTTGAATTTTTTTCTTTAGGCAATTTCTAGTCATAATGCTATGAAACCAGAACAAAAGCTTTTCTCAATTTTTTCTTGTAAAACTCTGAGTGAGTGCATAGTGGTGTATGTACATTTGAGTTCTTGGCAACCTACGCTGAGAAATAGAGTGCTTTATTCTAGTAGTCACCTTCTTTCAAGAAAAGAAAAGAGCATTGCTGGTTGCCAAATTAAAAAGTACAGTCTGTTTCTCAGAAGCAAAACTGAGACTGTGGTTCCAGGTACAGTTCAGGCAAAGGTGGATCATTTACTTATGTGTGTATTTTCTCTTACAGCATAGGTGGAGAAGTAGCGAGAGGAAATGAAGGAAGCTATGTGGGGAAACATTTCCGCATGGGATTTATGACAATGCCTGCTCCTCAGGACAGACTGCCACATCCTTGCTCCAGTGGCTTTACAGTGAGATCCCAGTCTCTTCATTCTGTTGGAGGAACTGATGATGAAAGTAGCAGCTCTCGTAAGCAGCCGCCTCCAAAACCTAAGCGAGACCCCAACACCAAACTGAGCACCTCATCTGAAACAGTCAACACTGGAACAACAAGTAAAAGTGGGAAACTACCAGACAGAACTGAAGGTAAATGCTATAATTCTTTGGAAAAAAAAGGTTTATGGTGACACAGTGTTAAGATTATCCAGTTGATAATCTTGTATTTAAGGATTAATTGTAGTTTCCCTATCTGTGTAACAATTCCAGCACAGATATCCCAGATCACTGTGCTCTACATTTTGGACCTGTGGGTAATTGCCAATCATTGACATTTCTCACAGAACAGTACCACTTATATTTCCTGGTTATATACTGGAGAATGAGTTGAATTGTTCAAAATGAAAGGCAAAAGAGATTGCTATCAGGTAGCAATGTTACCTGCACACCAGCTAAGGACCACTCACCATATCACTAGCACTGTGCAAACCACAGTCCTGGACAGGGTCCTCCTCAACAAAGAAGTGAAGGACAGAAATGATAAAATACTGAAAGCTGCATGGCCCTGAAACTCTACAGCAAGGAGATATTATCCAACAGTAAAAATTGTACCTGAGATGATAAAATGTATTGCCTAAGCTTCTGTTTGCATGTAGGTTTACATTTTCTCTTCACAGCTACATTGCAGCCCAGTTACATTCTCATTCCTCTTAGTTCCATTGCAGCCAATGCAGCATTCAGAAGAAAATAAACAAATGTGTTGAATAAGGGTATAACTTCCTTACTCTGAACTACTGAAGAAGAGCTAACATTGTAGCGATCTTCTTCCTTTCTTCCATGCTGGAAGTCCATTTTGTGCAGCAGTAGGACCAGCTGTACTCCCTGCTAGGAGAGATCAGGATGACTGTGATGCACAGTGTGAACTGTAGGAAGGAACCCTTATGGGCAAACGGTTTTGATCAGTGCTGGTCTTTCCTACTGCTGTGTTACATATCCGTTTTGACATCTTATGCATTATGTTGCGCTCTTAGTGTGTGTGTGTCCCTTTTGCTTCTTTTTGTGGCCAGAAATACTTGTTAGCTGCATTCATGTTACAACCCCTTTTAAGCAAACCTGATTTTGAAAAGTCATTGGTGATAACAAAGATGCAAAGCAATGTGTAATTCAACTGATGGCACATATGTCTGTGAGTGCAAGGTTGAGCACAAACGCTGAACAAACTGTAGATATATTTATGCTATTGGTGGTGGTTATTTTGCATATGATATTTACCATTACTTCCATGGCTTGTCCTCCACCGTGACCATTACATCAACTCCATTGAACAGACTCACATGACAAATCCAAGAATTGAGTAACTGCCCTTAATAAAAGCAGTTTACCACAGTTTTACTGGACCAAAGTCTACACAACGACCATTCAGATTTGTGTCACAGACAGATTTGAAATCTCATATCAGAAAGTTTCAAGTCCTCCATTTAATCTAGAAGGAGAATTACATGGCACAAATGTCTTGGTCTGATGTGCTCTGAGGTGAAAGATAGAAGCTTTTAAGTTTCTCAAAAGTTCTTTTGAAAAATATTATGTTTCAAAATGTTTTTACAAGTCTTTAATATGTTAGCACTCTTTTTTCCTGAGTCTGCACAATCAGAATTACAAAGGCTAAATGAAGTTTGTCTTGCAGACAGGGCAGTAAAATAGGCTCTATCGTTTTCTGATTTGTTTAATGAATATTCTTGCAAGTGTGCATTGAATCACAGAGTATATTTTGCTCTTTGGTATAGCCGACCTTAGCATTATTTCTAGAATAATTAGGAATGAGGTCTGTTTTATATCCATCCCCCTAGCCCTTTTCCTCATTTACTGAGAAGCAAGAGTCTTTGAAAGCCTTAAAGTAGCAATAATAATAATGATAGTGATAATTGAAATACATTCAAGTATTCCACAGATCTCGCAGAAATTATGTCAGACTCCTTAAGTACTCATGTAGTTAGGTAGAGCCATGTCCTTACAAAACTGTATCTTCTTCAGCACTATTATTATGGAAGATTGTGAAGATTTTGTTTCCTTTCCCTCATCTTCTCCCGCCATCTGAAATTTGACACTAAGGATGTAGTATGTAGTCATGTCCCTTCTAACAGATTCCAAAATTTGTAATTGATTGACATTTCTGTTTCCAAGGCCTGCTTTCTGTTTGCCTGCTTCCACTCTGTACTGGTTGAGCTCGATCTATTGCATCACAAGTTATGGTTACGAGTGGCATGCATGGTGCTGTAGCAGGTTCACTTTGTATAATGTCTATGACAGTAGCATTACTACACCATAATACTAAGTATTGCAGAGCACCTCATCTTTGTTACTGTAATCAATGTCTGAATATTCATAGCAAGATCTCTGGAAAGAACTGGTTAATGGTTAATACTCCATTACCAGCATAAAATGTAATACCTAAGTGTTGCCTTTGAATGTGACTAAATGCCTTCATGGAATATTGAGAATCTCTATGATACTTAATATATACCATGTATTATATTCATTCTGCAGGTTTACATGTAGTACTGCAGTGGGTACTTTTAAGTTATCATGAAGAAGTTCCTGGAGATTTTGAAGTGACATAACACATTAACTGTTATTTTCATGTGTTCAGAATGCCTGCCCTATTTGTATGTCTGGTTTTATATATGCCAGACTTACAGGAGTTTCACCAGAATCTGATACGTAGAAAGTAAGATCAGACTGTAGGGGGATTAAATAAGCAGTCACATTTTAGACTCTGAGGTATACTCAAAGTGGTGTTTAGAAGAACAAACTAAAATGCTTTGCTGTCGCCAGGAAAGGCTTTGTTATTGACTGCCCTCCGAGGTAACAAGTTGGTTGTGATGAAAGAGTTTTCAGTCATCATCTGGCTAGCATAGGAAAGTTTGTATAAAACCTATGGTCATACATTGATGAGGGCGTCTAAAGATGAGCAGAACCAGATGAAAGTTAATTATCTGCAGTATTTATCTGATACAAATATTAAACCAGCTTTGTCCCAGAATAGAAAATTATTACTGTTGCTTTACAGTTAATCCCAGCAAATAAAGTACCTGAAATTGTGTGTAGCTCAAAGAAACCTGTGAAGGTCTGATTCTGCAAATCTTTTTTTTATCTGTGCAAGTGGTGAAGTTTTGCCATATCTAGTAGTTCTCATTCTAGTAGCAGTCTTTGAATTCAAGAGGTTGTAAACCTGTATCTTCCCAATTTCAGGTAAGATAGTCCATAGGATACAATACTCATGTTCTAGGAAGATCTTTGGAATGTCAGGTCCAAGAACACAGAGGCTTAACTTGGTTGTTATTGTTGATATTGTACCCAAATATTTTTATATGCATGCCTCTCATACATTTGTATGTATCTGTGGTATTTGCAGGCTGAATGGCTACAGCTTTTTCCAGGAGCTATGAAAAACAATGATAAAAACCCTTATTGTTTCTCCACCAACTATTGTGGAATCTTTACAAAGGAGTTGTCACAAAATCATTCCCAGCTCATTTTTTTTATGGCAATGCAGAATAATTCAGACTATGATTTCTATTGTCTGACCCTGTGGCTACTTTGAAAAGGAATTTGCTACATTTCCTAGGCAACCAGGGACAGCCTCACCACTCATTTTTATTAAACACGTTTACTTTTTGCTTTTTGGTAACTGTCCAGTTTATAAAAACAAAACCAGTTACTGATGGTAACTTTCATTCTTTTTCTGATCATGGTGAAGTCCAAATATTGAATCCATCTCTTCATAGTAACCACCATTAATATTAGATTATGCTTTGAATGTGAGCCTGACGACCGCAGAAGTAAGTGGCGGAAGAAATTTGGTCATGAGCCTGAAAGATCTTTTCCTCCCAAAGCACAAATAGTATCAGTAGCAGCCATGGTGGTTCTGTACACTTTCCCTGTAAGTCTACTTGATTCCAAATTTGTGGGAGTGTGAGAATCTTCTTTCCAGTCACGATGACATGCATTAACCCTGTCACATTGTGCAGCAGTGTGGTAACACTTCGGTTAGTGTATTCCACCCCAGTCTACCTTGGCTTTGCCTGAAAGAGCACTCTACAGCCTGGAGGAGCTCTCCTTAACTTGAGTTTAATTTCATTGCTGTGTTTTCACACTTTCATGTCCCTTCTTAAGCTTCAGTATTCCTTTTGACTCTTCTGGCTACCTCTCATATGCACCCACTGAACACCTTCCCCCCAGTGCGTTTCTCCCCAGTGACAGATGTCTAGAAAGTTGTTTTAAAAAATGTGGGCTGTCTTTTCTGCAGAGTTTTCAAACTCTGATAGGAACAGCAAACAAATGGAGCTGTGCCCCATGTATCACACACTGTAAGTGAGAAGTGAACTGAAAGGGTCATTTTAAATAACATTTCAGCATGGAAGGCCTGTCTAATCTTGATCCCAAAAGGGTTTTATTGAGAAAATGCAGGAGTTTAATCTATGTGCTTTCAGTGCCCAATCTTACAGAAAAAAAAGAATTAATAAAACAGCGTAACTGGTGAATGTAAGCAGCCTCAAGCAGTGGGTTTTATGTGAACCCTGCTTGTCCACCAGAAAGGTTTACAGATCCACTGCAGCGCAATCATAAATGAAGAGGTATCAGTGAATTGCATTGTGAAAGTTAACTTTTTGTTAAAATTCTGCTTAGTGAAATGGGTGATGACTGCATTATACAAGCATATAATACATATAAATAATGAAAATGCGAGTTTTATGTGCATGCAGGTATATGCAAATACGTGAATACAAATCCAAATTATGGCTCAGAGTAGCATTTTCAAGATGTTGCACAGGGTTGTTGTTCTGCTTCTGCCAGAGCTCACAGGAAGTTTAGATCTAAGACATGAAAATGCTCACAGGGATCCCAATCTCTTGAAACCCACTCTGTTTTCTTCCAAGTGTCATGTGTGGAAGAAGCTACCCTTCTTGTCTCTTTCTAAGCCCATGCAGTGGAAGCCTTTCTCTCTTGCTTAGCAGTCTCTAAAGGTGGGAAACTTGTAAGGAAAATATTCCTCTGGAGAAGAGCAATTACAGTAAGTGTAACTGGGGTTGCAGTCCAGCTGGTATCATAAATCTATTTTTCTGTCAACTAAACTGGAGACTCTGCATTGT